ACACATACACAGGATACACACAACTCGAAAGAAATTTATACCTACGCATATACGATAACTGTACTTTTAATGCCAAATGTATAATAACTCGTAAGGGGTCGCCTACTGCCGACTAGCGATCGATTACTCGGAACGGGCGCTGACGAAAAAGCAAGGCCCGCCACGAGCAAAGCTATTCGCCCGTGCTTTCGAGTCCTTACGCAACGTGCCGTATGAATCGCTTCGTCACATGTCCCAATTTTCGGACGTCACGGGGACTCGCTCTAAACCAGGTAAGAAACATTTTTCCTTTCTTCTTCGTTGGTGGTTACGAGAGTGCTTGCGAAATTTCTGCACGTCGCAAGATAATTTTGATCTCCCGGCATAATACCTCTTGGAACATGAGTTCTGGTTCCTGGTAAGAAATGGTCTTGATTCTCAATTTTATTCTGAAAAATGTCACGCTGATTTTCTTTCTCGTTAAATCGCTTCGCGGAGACAAATTTCAGTTGCTTCGACGATAGAAATATCTCGTTTCCATTTTCTCTCGTCGAACATATCTTACGGTGAATAAGTTTCAAGTGTCGTAAATTTCGCCGCCAGTCCCAACACGGTATAAAATCTCAACTCCACACACGGCACTTTGCGTAAGAGCGCGATCCTTCTAACGTGAGGCAGTAAGCGACGTCACCGATCTAAGCTCGATAAATAAGGGAGATGTACAAAATTCATTATGACTGTCTACCAAGAAACAAACAAGCAAAAAGAAGATTAGAGAGAGCGAGAGCGAGAGCAAGAAAGAAAAGGAGAGAGAGAGAGAGAGAGAGAGAGAGAGAGAGAGAGAGAGAGATAGAGAGAGCAAGAGAGAGAAAGCAAGAGAGAGAGAGAGAGAGAGAGAGAGAGAGAGAGAGAGAGAGAGAGAGAGAGAGAGACATAGAGAGACAGAGACATAGAGAGACAGAGAAAAAGGGAGCGAAAGAGGAAAGAAATTACGACAAAGTATAAGACGGTGGAAACAAATTCAACGGCTTATAAAAGCGAGCACACTCTAGGCCGAGATGATCGCTGTACGTTATTAAGTATAATGATTGCCTTCCTGCCATATTTGGGGTATGCCAAGTATAAAAATTATAAGGTTTAGGGATTAGGAGACGAGAAACTGTGGCGACACGAGACCGTGTCGAAATTTCGGTGAGTTCGGCGACCACGAAGTGTGCATCGGTGCGAGACTGTGAACCTGAATACGAGCCTGAATATGTGAGTCTGAACGCGAGCTTGAGCGCGCAAATGTCGATGAATGTGTGAGAGAGCGAGAGAGCGAGCGAGAGAGAGAGAGAGAGAGAGAGAGAGAGAGCGAGAGAGAGAGAGAGAGAGAGAGAGAAAGCTACAGAGCGAAAATGAAAAGAACGAATGAACGTGCGAGTGAGACTTATGCGTGTATGTTCTTCTTTCGAAATATCGTGCTATTTTTCAAAATTTTACACGTCGCGCGTGATTTCGCAAAGGGACTCCGAGTCCTCGACAATCGAAGAACGATCCGAGTGCCGACCGATGTTAAACAACAAATATCGTTGAATTTTCGCCAAGACCCGCAAAACCGACAAATTTTATTTTCACCGGAAAATTTCATCGAGATTCGTTGTCGTTTGTAATCGATCCTGACTTCGACTAATCTCCGGATTCAATGTAACGCAAGGATATCCTTTTGCGTAGGTGCTAAAACGACGATTTTATCGGCCAATTTGATTTATTCGTCGCAAACGTCGGCACGCTCGGGTTCGGGAGAAAATGCGAGGGGAGAGAATACGAGTGCGTGCATGTGTGCGAGAGACAGAGAGAAAGAGACTCCTTGTAAGTGTAAAAAGTAAACAAAAAAATTTTTCGAAGTGGCCTTCGGTGAAAGGGAAAGATCATCGCTTTTCGCTTTTGCTCGTACGAGGCTTTTGCGTAACGAGCCATCCGTGTTATCCGTTTGTCTGGGAAACTTTACGGGAGAGTGGGTTTAAAAAAGAACAAGAAAGAAAAGAAACAAGAAAACGCAGGAGGGAAAAATTGATTCTCGCGCCACGCTCATGCAGCCAGAACATCTCTGGTAACGATGGGAGAGAGGACAGCATAGCAGAGAGCAGGAGAGAAGAGGAAGGAAGGAAGGAAGGAAGGAAGGGTGGATCGCGCGTTGGTAGCACGTATCGGGGCGATTAGGAAAACGAAATATCGGACAAGTCAAAAAACGGTAAAGAGAAAATGAAAAAAAGGAGAAAAAAATAATACGTTATTCTTGATACAAGCGACTTTTGTGCGAAAACGCGACGGTGGTCGCGAGGCGACCTTAGACGGCGATTTATTAGTATACGCGTTGCAATATAAAACTCGATCGACCACGTTTTTCATTTCGGCGGAAAATCGGAAAGCGCGAGTTCTAATTACCATTTAGGCATAATGTGTTCAACGGAGAAAAAGGTAAATTCGCGCGAGACGTGCGGCGGCAGAAGGAGAAAAGAAGGGGGTAAGAAAGAGGGAAGTTTCATGCGAGTACGGGATGGGTTGAAATTTAGTGGAAGCAAAAGAAGTGCGAGCTGATTCGCGAAAAATTACGAGAGAAAAAGGAAGGGAGAAAGAAAGAGAGAAAGAGAGAATGAGAGAGAGTGAGAAAGAGAGAGAGAGAGAAAGAGAGAGAGAGAGAGAGAGAGAAAGAGAGAGAGAGAGAGAGAGAGAGAGAGAGAGAGAGAGAGAGAGAGAGAGAGAGAAAGCGTGAGAATACGAGGTCGCGAGAGCGTGGAAAAGAGAGCGAATGCGGAAGAAATTTAAAATTAAATATTGTATAAAAAGAAAAAAGTAGTAAGTGCCTTCCAAAAAAAAAAAAAATTTAAGTATCCCGTAGACCGTGACCACTTGACTAAGCGACGAAGTCATTCGAAATTCTGCTGAATGCATTATTCGTGAGATTACGTTTGTAAATACGTTGCGTAAAATCGACATGTCGTTCCTTCCCTCTCGATATCTTCGGCGATCCCTACGACGCACTCGCGATAAACGTCCGGCTTTTCTCGATTAAACGTCCGATGTGAACAAATTTGAATTGATGACTTTTGGAGAAGGAAACTTCTCCTCATATATTTCTGCGATTCGGATTCTTCGTTAATTTTCATTCGAGTCGCGCATTCGCCAGAGCGCGCTTAACTTTTAATTACGCGCGATACGATATAAATGTTGCGCGAAATATTTGTTTCATCCTGGAAGATCGAAATTCGGTATTCGAATTCGCGATCGTAATTTTTGAATGGGTATCTTCTCGATTGTTTCCAAATCATTCCCGGGAAGGATTCCCTTCCCGAGATTCTCCAATTGTCCAATCGTTTCACTAAAAGAAAGAAAAAAGAAGGAAAAACACAAGAGAGCGAGAAAAAGAAGAGACTACCGCGCGCGACGAGTGAAATATTCGATTAACCCGACGAACTCTCCCCTACGAGTGTCGAATACGCAATGTGTCTACGAACTGTCTGTGTGCGTGTCTGAGTGAGAGTGTCCGAAGCAACAAACTACCCGACAAAATTTGTGTTTTGGATCAATCCACACAGGTAATACCCTGAATGGCATATTCTCGAGATGTTTTCCTTCTTGATTTCCCGGCAGAGCAAACAGAGTCGACGAACTAGTAGATATGAGGAGAGAAAGTGAGGGAGAGACAGAGAACGAGAGAAAGAGAAAAAGAGCGAGTGAGCGAACGAGCGAGCGAACGAGAGGGAGAGAGAGAGAGAGAGAGAGAGAGAGAGAACGCGCGTAGGAGAATAAGAAAAAAGAAAATAAAAAGATGAAAGA